ATTTTGGAGTCATAAGATCAATTGTAATTTCAGGGACAGGGAATGGCTAGGGAGAATGAAACCCCCTCCCCCCCCCCCTGAAATTTGCTTTGTTATTTAAATAAGCAAATTAAAAAAATAAAAAATGACTTTGGATATCCTCCGTCTTAGAAAAAAGTGACCACATGACCCTACTATCATTGTTTTTTTTTTTTTTTTTTTCCATTTTTAGTTCACCTGAGACGAAGGCTCAAGTGAGCTTTTCTGGTCACATTTTGTCCGTCCGACCGTCCATCTGTCTGTCCGTTTGTAAACTTTTCACATTTTCGACTTCTTCTTAAGAACCACTGGTCCAATTTTGACCAAACGTGGTACAAAATGTCCTTGGGTGAAGGGAAATTTAAATTATTAAAATAAAGGGCCAAGTTCCCTCACAAGGGGAGATAATCAAGAAAAGACAAAAACAGGGTGGGGTCATTAAAAAATCTTCTTCTCAAGAACAACTGGGTCAGAAAAGCTGAAACTTATGTGAAAGCACCCTAGGGTAGTGTAGAATCTAAATTCTTCAAATCATGACTCCCCCCCGGGGGGGAAGGGCGGGGCCACAATGGGGAATCAAAGTTTTACATAGATATATATAGGAAAAATCTTTTAAATCTTCTACTCAAGAACCACTAGGCCAGACAAGCTTAAACTTATGTGATAGCATTCTGGGGTAGTGTAGATTATAAATTGTTAAAATCATGACCCCCGGGGGAAGTGCAGGGCCACAATGGGGAATCAAAGTTTTACATAGAAATATATAGGAAAAATCTTTGAAAATCTTCTTCTGAAGAACCACTTGGCCAAAAAAGCTGAAACTTATGTGGAAGTATCCTGGTATAGTGTAGATTTTAATTCGTTCAAATCATGACCCCCCGGGGGAAAGGCGGGGTCACAATGGGGAAAAATTTTACATTGAGATATATTGAAGAAATATTTAAAAATCTTCTTCTCAAGAACCACTGGGCCAGAAAAGCTGAAACTTAGGTGGAGGGATTCTGGGGTAGTGCAGATTCTAAATTTTTCAAATCATAGCCCTCGGAGGAAGGGCGGGGCGACAATTGGAAATCAAAAGTTTACATAGAAATAAAAAGGAAAAAAAATTGAAAATCTTCTTCACAAGAAGCACTGGGCCAGAAAAGCCGAAACTTGTGTGGAAGCATACTGGGGTATTGTAGATTTTAAATTGTTCAAATCATATCCCCCGGGGAAGGGCGGGCCACAATTGGTAATCAAAGTTGTACATAGAAATATATAGGAAAAATCTTTTAAAAACTTCTCAAGAATCACTGCGCCAGCAAAGCTGAAACTTATGTGCACATGGAAGGATCCTGGGGTAGTGTAGATTTAAAAATGCCTAAATTATGATTAGTTGGGTAGGGTGGGGATGCATTATGAATTACAAGGAGGAAATCTGGTAAAGAACAGAATGGTCAAAGCTTCTCATGTGAGCCATGTGGCCCATGGGCCTGTTGTTTTTCTTTGCTTATGTGGAAATTCTTGACTGGCATTTTTTTTACTGAACTCCCCTCCCCCTCCTTAAAAAAACTGGATCTGCACCAGTAACTGAATGTCACATCGATAACTAGAGATAACTTCACACTGTGAAATTCGTCCACTGTGGTATGCGATGATCTTTGAACTTTAACCTAATCTTTTGCATTTCAGTTTATTTTACCCCAATCTATACTTAAACTTGTACTTACCGACTGTCATAGGTCCTGTCATCTTCATGAAATATAATCAAATTATAACACAAAATGCATTTTTTCAATACACATGACACTGCAGCTATCCCTTTCGGCAAACCTTGGCTGATTCCATCGCCGAAATCAGATGAAATACAAATCGGACGAAGTGTGCCGAGTGGTGCTTTATCTAAAAAGATGATAAAGGTAATAAATTAATCACATAGGTGACAGAACCTGGGGGCGGCTTAGCCCCCCTCCGCCTACTTTCTATTTGCTTCCGACGCCTATGAACTAATGAAGCATATAAAATACATATAAGAGGCTCTGAGTCATACATGTAGGTCACATAGTCACAGGGTCTGAGAATGTGACAAATACACGTACCATGTAAATTATAGAATCACTTTGTCTTTTTTTCTTGGAAAGCCCAATATGTACGGGTGTGTCGTTAGAGGCAAACACTTTAGTGCGGGTATTACTGTCTCATGACAGCATATAGTTTCAATAGTGGTTGTATTTCAATAGTGGTTACTAACTGTGTTTGCTATTGAAATGCACTCTCAACCACCATTGTTATAATTATTTCAATAGTCGTCGTTATATCAATAGTGGTTGCAACAGTCGTTAATAAAATACTAACTTGAATCTTTTCATGTAAAATTTGAAATGCAAGTTTTTTTAAGGATAGGTGATACAAACATTTATTTTCTTTGAAAAAGATTTAATTTCATGTCACAAGTTTAGAAAAGTTGATGGCTCTTAGAATTTTTTTCTCTGAAGACCTGGGAAATGAAATAGACTTTGAAAATATTAGTAATGATTCAATAAAAAAACAAATATGGACAAATCACATTCAGGAAAGGTTTACAGGTGGAAACAAATTCCGGAATATGTCACCTTGGTGCTAAAAGTGTAATTTAAACTTTAGAAAAATATACCAAGCCAGGTGAATTTTATGAGGAAGATCAAATAGACAAAAATTAGCAATATCACATAGGCTGATTTTTACCATTTAGCTTTTCCTAATAAAATTCACCTGTCTTGGCAAAATTGTAATAGTCAATGAGTTCTGCGAAAATTTAAAAAAAATCATTGACCCCTGGTAGGTGGATCTATTGTTAAGGCACAGCTTAATTTAGGAATGTACTTAAGTCAATCAATCAATCACTTAAGTTTAGTGATTGATTGATTGACTGTATACTGTTTAATGTCCATCTCCAGATTATTTCACTGATATGGAGACGTCACCATTGCCGGTGAAGGGCTGCAAATTTGGGCCTATGCTCGGCACTTCCGGTCTTTGAGCAGGGAGGGATCTTTATCGTGCCACACCTGCTGTGAAACGGGGCCACGGTTTATACGGTCTCATCCGAAGGACCGCCCCGTTTAGTCGACTTTTACGACAAGCAAAGGGGTACTGAGGACCTAGTCTGATTAATTTGTGTGTGAATCACACAAATTTGTCATAAAGGAATATTTTATGAAACGCTAGCGCTTCATATGCCTACTTGCAAGTTTGTGTGATTCACACATCAATAATTCACACTAAACTTAAAACATTCCTTATATTTACATTTTACTTGTTAGAAGAGACTAAAATATACTCAATATTTGAATTTCCCGCTGCCCTATATTGTTGCATTTTTACTAACGTCGCTGCAACCTCATTGTGACGTCACGCTAACGCACGTTTCTCTGTGTATATTTCTACGTGTGCGTATACATGAAAATGGTATTAAAATCAATTTCACAGTTGGATTTGCAGAAATACACAGCGAATGTAAATATATGATCATATACTAAAATTACATTGATGCATTGAATATCTATACGATGCTCCTAAGTTGAAAGCAAAAAGACTAATTTCATGACAATTAGGAATAAGTTTTATGCTCCTTTAACGAAGAATCTGGGTTACATGTATACAGTTTTTGCCCTGTCTGTCTGTTTGCAAAAATTTTTATCATTGACCATACAGTTTTAGTGTGTGAAAGTATAGCTTTCATTTTTCAGAGACCTGGGTATTCATTTTGACAAGACCTTTCTACCTGTACACCAAATTTAACACTATGACTTCAATTTGGTGTATGACCCACTTTTAAGAAAGTTTCAAAACTTTAATTTTGGCTATAACCTTTGAACAGTTAATACCTGGGGTTTCATACTTCACTTGTGTATTTACTGTGACAAGACTTTTCAATAGGTATAAATTAAAATAATTGACTTTGAACTTGTAGTTTGACCTACGGTAAAAAAATTTAACTTTGATAATAACTTTTGAGCTGATAGCACTGGGGCTTTCATATTTCACAGGTTTTTTTCTTTTTGACGAGACCTTCCTGGAGTATCAACAATTTTGATCTTTGAACTTGATTTGACTTTTGACTTGAACTCGGGAAACTTCAACCATAAGCTGGTATACTGGGGTAGCAGTATTTCAAAAACACATCTTTTTCTTCCGAGTCCACTAATCAATGCTGTTTTAAAATTTTTAGGTAATATTTTCTTTTTCTTTACAGATAGAAGAACATTGAAGAAGAATGAATTGATGTTAACATTCTCGATATTAAATATTTGGCTTAATCTGAATATGTCTTTTGGTATGATTGTTTAAAGATCAATTAGGACCAGAAAGTGGATCATTCCACAAATGAAAAGAAAACTAGCCGTTGAGGGAAACAATGTCAATTGCATGAATTGAATATTTAAATTGCGTATAATTTTGTTTCATCAATGTTTACAATATGTGAAAAAATGTTCTAAACATGTGTTTAACCATTGTTTGACACATGTATAGTACTTATACTATGATCATGTGAGCAGTGTAAATAACAAACACAAATAAAAAACACATTAAACACAGGTTTTAAAAAACATGTCACACACGTTGCACGTACGTTATTCATATATGAAACGTATGAATAACGCACGTGTGCAACGTACGTGAAACGTATGGTAATCAATTCGTACGTTTAACATACGTGACACGCACGATATTCATACCTGTGAAAACGTACGATTAACATATGTGGTGATTTTTTTTTCAAGTTTCACGTACGTATGTTAAACGTACGTGAAACAATTAGCTGTGTATATAATGTGTTAAAAGTTGTATCAACTCTAGCAAGAATACCATATATGAATCTTTGAAAAATATTTTTGTGAAACATTCAAAATTTTTGCTTTAGATCGCATATGTTATCATATTTCTATGAATTATTTTTATCAACTTATATATATCACGATAGATGAGAAGACAGTTGACAATTAACCATTGATTTATCAAAGTACAGATAACATATGCGAAAGGGGTACCTGTACAGCAACACAGAGCTCGACATTCAATGGTTTATCAGCAGAAAAAGTTATCGATGGATATCATGATCAAGATGAAAGAAGCTGTTCACACACTGCTCCTAATAAAACGAAGGCGTGGGTTTTGATTGACTTAAGGAAAAAATATCAAGTAACAAATATTGTAATAATCTACAGAAATGAAAGTAAGAAATTCTCTCTCTCTCTCTCTCTCTCTCTCTCTCTCTCTCTCTCTCTCTCTCTCTCTCTCTATTACGGGTGATAAGGCTATGAATAATGCTTTACTTTCCAAGTCTTTGTCTTTTTTAATACATTTTTGTTTTAATGTGCTAATCACTACATATCAGAACGTGCATCTCTAAAAATATATTTCCTTACCTATTTTTATCTCACCTGAGCTGAAGGCTCAAGTGAGCTTTTCTGATCATTTTTGTCCGTCGTCCGTCTGTCTCTCCGTCCGTCTCTCTGTCTGTAAACTTTTCACATTTTTAATTTCTTCTCAAGAACCAATCGGCCAGTTATAATCAAACATAAAACAAAGCATTCTTGGATAAAGAGGAACGTTAATTGTTACAATGAAGGGCCAAGTCCCCTTACAAGGGGAGATGATTAAGAAAAAATAGGGTGGGTCATTAACCACTGTGCCAGAAAAGCTGAAACTTATGTAGAAGCATTCTTGGGTAGTTTAGATATTTAATTCTTAGAATCATGACCCCGGGGATAAGATTGATCAAAATAGGGAATCAAAGTTTTACATAGAAATGTATGGAACTGTTACACCGAAACTTTCTGTTTTTAAATAAAAACGCCCAAAGTTTCCAACAAAGTTTATTTTGTATTCCCGTGTAACACTTTACACACAGGACCCGACTGAGTAACTAATTGAACACACAAATTCTACGGCTAAATATTAAGAACTGCCCAAACTACAGACTGTCAATCACTGCCAAATTAACCCAATAATTGTGAACACTATGAATTCTGCATTTTCTCATGGCCAGCACTTCGGACATTCAATCCCCCTGAGACTCGGGTGATAAAAGTCAGCAATGCTGATACCATCTTCCCAAGTCAAGAGTTTCTGATCCGCTCCGCTCCACATAAACCCTTGACCGAACAGGCTAAGTTTGACAGGGTTAGAAATGCGTCCTCTGATTGGCCTCATGCAAGTTTGCATGAACCAATCAAAATCATTGTTTTATTTAAACTGAAACTAAATCGTAAACAGAAAATCACGCCAGTTTTAGTCCCAAGGATAACGTCTTTATCATTAAATAGCCCAGTAAAGGTTTGTCTCAGCGTTTAAGATGAGTTATATTGAATTCATAACCAACTACCAATATTATCTCGAATTCTCTGTTGAATTCGTTTACTCTGATTGGCTAATAGCAGAGGTCAGTAGAGTTCAAAATGTGTAATCTCACTAGATAGCGCGACAGTAAACCCCGTCAAACTTAGCCTGTTCGGTCAAGGGTTTATGTGGAGCGGAGCGGATCAGAAACTCTTGACTTGGGAAGATGTGCTGATACAAGAGCTAAATTTCCCAGCCAAATCTTAATGAGTGGTCAAGACCTTATCACATAAACAGATCACTGCAGTCTGTAGCTTAGAGCCATTACTACAAATCAACAAGATTAAGATAATATAAATCAAGCATTAATTAAACAAACAATTTCACACAAAATATCACTTTAACACCTCCCTTCTAAAGATAAAAATTTAACTGTCAATAGTTGAATTTTTTCCAAGTTCATAATTCTGTATAGAGCAACATTAAATTTAACCAGTCACTAAATTCACCAGTCCAAATAAGTATTAAACAGTTAATAGCAATTAATCATCAAAAGAACAATATAAATCCAAAATGAATTTCACTGTAAATCCAAACTGAAGGCAAACTTGAATTTTATGAATAAAAAAATTTCACAAAAATTGCCCATAATTCACAAACACATTTCACTTTTCAGATTCTTGATAATCCGTCTGCATTTGTGTTTTTGCTTCCTCTCTTATATCTAACTTCAAAGGTGTACGATTGCAGTGCGAGGGCCCAACGCAACAGTCTCTGATTTTTATTCTTCAAGCGATGCAACCATGTTAGTGGATTGTGATCTGTTTCTACGTAAAACTTCCTCCCCTCTAGGTAATACGAAAACGATCCAATGGCCCAAACGATGGCCAATAATTCCTTCTCTATGGTTGAATAGTTCTTTTCCCTCGGAAGTAACTTCTTACTAAGGTAAGCAACTGGGTGATCACCAACTGGCAACTGTTGACTCAGGACAGCCCCAATTGCGTTATTACTCGCATCTGTTTGTAGTACAAACGGTAAATTGAAGTTCGGATTGATCAAAACAGGAGCTGTCATCAGGGCCTCCTTCAGTTTCTTGAATGACTGCACTTCCCTCTCCGTCCATTTTACTTCTGCGGGTTGACTTTTTCTCAGTAGATCAGTCAGTGATACAGTTATGTCCGCATAATTTCCTATATACTGGCGATAGTATCCAGTTAGCCCCAAGAATGATCTTAATTCTTTCTTTGTCAAGGGAAGCGGAGAATCCTCCATGGCCTTCAATTTCCGAGGGTCTGGTCGAATTGATCCCCCTCCAACTATTTGTCCCAAACAGATAATTTCTGTTGCTCCCAACTTACATTTTGATGGTCTGATGGTAAGATTAGCCTCATGAATACGCTGAAGCTGCTCTGTTACATGTTTGATATGGTCTTCCCACGTCTGACTGTAGACAATTATGTCATCAAAGTATGCAACAGTATTTTGAGTTCCGTCTAAAATACGATCCATAAGTCTTATGAATGATGCTGGAGACGTCTTCATACCAAACGGCATCACTGTAAACTCGAAAAGGCCAAATGGGCTGATGAAGGCGGATTTCTCGCGTGTTTCCTTTGCCAGAGGAACTTGCCAGTAGCCTTTTGTTAGATCAAATCTACTCAAATATTTTGCACATCCAATTTTCTCAAATATTTCACTCATGCGTGGAATGGGATAATGGTCCGTGAGAGTTATTTCATTCAATTTTCTATAATCAACACATATTCTAATTGTCCCATCAGGCTTGTTGACAAGGACAATTGGTGAGGCACAGGGACTTTTGGATGGTGTAATAAGTCCTTGTTCTAGCATTTCATTCAAAGACTCCTGCACTTTCTGTTTCTTAGCTTCCGGTATCCTGTAAGGTCTCTGAGTAATTGGATTCTCAGACGTTGTTTTGATTGTATGTGAGATAACATCACACTTTCCCGGCTTTGATGTGAAAATTCTTGAAAACTCCTGACAAACATCCCTTAAACTCTGTCTCTGCACTTGTGTCAGCCCCTGTCCAAAGACAAGATCTGAAATGGTTTCTGTGGTGTCGTTAGGAAATTGCTGTTCAATTCCAATTTCATTTTCTGTTGCTGCTAGTAATGTAGCCCGGATATAAGAACGAAGTAAATTGATATGGTAAGTCACAAGTCCACGTCGTCCTCCAACATTGATTTTATAGTTAACATCATTTACCTTGTTAACCACAAGAAACGGTCCTTTCCACTGAGCGGACATCTTGCCAGGTTCGGTTGGGAGTAAAACGAGTACTTCATCACCAGAACGCAAAGTCCTTTTGGATGCTGAGCGATCATACCAATCTTTGATTTTCGACTGCCTCATTTCCAAGTTGTTTTGCACGAGTTGCGTCATATCAGCCACTTTGTTTCGGATGTTGACGACATGATCTATTTCTGAAGTTTTTATTTCCTCCTCACCAGTCATGAAGCTCTTTTAAACACTAAGAGGACCACGTACTGGCCATCCATATTACAGGTCAAATGGTGAAAAGCCAGTCTCCTCATGTGGAACTTCTCTGTATGCGAAAAGTACATATGGAAGTAGTACATCCCAATCTTCGCCATTCTCCATACACAACTTTTTCAACATTGATTTTAACGTTCCATTAAATTTTTCAACTTTGCCATTAGCCTGCGGGTGATAAGGCGTTGTAGTTATTCCCTTGATTTTGATTTTCTCATATAAATCTTTCAGGAGCGCACTTGTGAAATTTGATCCTTGGTCAGTGAGAATGGTTTTAGGAATTCCAACTCGACTAAATAATGTAATGAGTGTGTCGGCTATTCGTTCAGCTTCACAACTTGGTAAAGCAAAAGCTTCTGGGTATCTCGTAGCTTCATCAATGACAGTCAGAATGTATTTGTTACCTTGAGTTGTCCTATTAAGTGGGCCAATGATGTCCATTGCGATCTTTGAAAACGGATCAGTTATGATAGGTGTGTTGACCATAGGTGCTCTTTCCGCACTTCTTTTTGCCACTTTTTGACAGGTGTCACATTCTGCACAGTAGTCCGACACATCTTGGAACAATCCAGGCCAATAAAATGACGCAAGAATACGTTGTTTGGTCTTCTCAGTTCCTAAATGTCCAGCTATTGGCTGATCATGTGCCAGCTTCATCACTGCTTTTCTTAGCGATGCTGGAAGTACCACTTGTGTTCCCGACAGATTCTTTTTCTTGGAAGTCCATTTTCGTTTCAATATGTCATTCTCCCAGTAAAATGCTTTATGTTCTGTCTCAGTTTGTGATACATTTTTGAATGCTTTATCCCTACAATTTTTGAGTGTTGGGTCTTGTTTCTGAAGATTCGATAGTTTATTTCCATTCACCACGCTCAACTTTTCAAATGAAATTTCCGGTAAATCAAGGCTCACTTCGCCAGCATCATCGTTAGTTACTACGACGTTGAAGTCCCTTGGTACGACATCACATTTATTCATGCGACTTTTGGCACTTAATTCATTTTGTTCTTGTTCTTTTGCTTTGGCTCTCGTAACCAAAGCTGCAACTTTGTTCCTCTCCAGAACATCTATTCCCAATAAACCATCTGCAACCAGATCAGGTACTAAACCTACCTGAACATGTCCCTTAAACATTGGTGTTTCCAGGTTAACCACTGCTAACTTAGCCTCGAATGGCTGTCCAATAGCTGTAACCAAGGAAGTAGTTTGTCCATGTAGAACACATTTTGGATCAACAAGATCCTCCCGCAATAGCGTCATAGATGCTCCAGTGTCCTTGACCATTGACACTTCCACATCATCCACTTTCCCCGGAACATAATGTAAACCCCATAATGCTCCTTTCACGAAACACGACGCTAGATTACCTTTCTTTGGGCATTTGTTTGCATAATGTCCAAAGTTCCCACAGCTAAAACATTTCACTTTTCCCCTGTTCCTGGCTCTTCTTCTCACCTAACACTTTAGGATTTTGAAGTTTCCTTTCCTCGGCCGATTTTGTTGGTAGAATGTAATCCTCAGCAGCTTCAACTAACTCACTACTTCCCTTATTCCGTCTAATCCACTGGGCTTGTTGAGGAGATAACGCCTTTAAGAAATACTCTTCTCGGAACTTTTGTACGGGATCTTTCTCATCAATGAAACGACTCAAATACAGATCTATTCTCGACATTAATCCTCTGTAAGTTTCTCCTGGTCTACGTTTAATTTCCTCCAGGAACTGAAAGTAGTCTGCTGGGCGCTTGCCGAATCGATTCAAAAGAGCCTTATACAGATCTCTGTATCCCGAAGTCACTTGCTGCGACACTTCTCGAGCTTCTCCGGTTAAAAGTGACCTAAGCTGTAAAGCCTTTGACTTCTCAGTCCAACCTGCATGCTCAGCTACCGCATCAAATTCAGAGAGATAGCACAAAATGTCATCCTTTTCCTGATTAAATGGTTGAAGTTTAATTTTTGGCATTCCTGTCGAATGTGCTCCTTGTGTTGCATTGGCCTTCTCTAGCTGAACACGTAATTCCAAAATTTCTTTTTCATGTTCCAATTCAAGTGTTTTTAAACGCAATTCATGTTCCTGTTTTTGTTTGGAAAATTGTATTTCCAATTCAAAGTCCTGTTTCCTAGGCATTTTAATTTCGCTTGTTAAGTCCAAATGTATGTATAAAATTTCAAACAATATTTCACATTTAATTACGATCCTTTACCGCTGCCACCACTTAAAATGTTACACCGAAACTTTCTGTTTTTAAATAAAAACGCCCAAAGTTTCCAACAAAGTTTATTTTGTATTCCCGTGTAACACTTTACACACAGGACCCGACTGAGTTACTAATTGAACACACAAATTCTACGGCTAAATATTAAGAACTGCCCAAACTACAGACTGTCAATCACTGCCAAATTAACCCGTTAATTGTGAACACTATGAATTCTGCATTTTCTCATGGCCAGCACTTCGGACATTCAATCCCCCTGAGACTCGGGTGATAAAAGTCAGCAATGCTGATACAAGAGCTAAATTTCCCAGCCAAATCTTAATGAGGGGTCAAGACCTTATCACATAAACAGATCACTGCAGTCTGTAGCTTAGAGCCATTACTACAAATCAACAAGATTAAGATAATATAAATCAAGCATTAATTAAACAAACAATTTCACACAAAATTTCACTTTAACAGGAACAAATCATTAAAAATCTTCTTCTCAAGAACCACTGGGCCAGGAAAGCTGAAACTTGTGTGGAAGCATCATTGGGTAGTGTAGATAATGAATAATTAAAATCATGATCCCCAGGGATAGGGCGGGGCCACAATAGGGAATCCAAATTTAATATAGAAATGTATTGTACGAATCATTAAAAATCTTATTCTCAAGAACCAATGGGCCAGGAAAGCTGAAACTTATAGGGAACCATCTTTGGGTAGAGTAGATAATAAATTGTTACAATCATGACCCCGGGGGTAGGGCGGGGCCACTATAGGGAATCCAAGTTTTGAATAGATATATTTAGAAAAAAAATCTTTTTAAGAATTTTCTTTTCAAAAACAACTGCACCAGGAAAGCTGAAAGTTATGTTGAAGCATTCTGCATGGGGTAATGTAAGTTCTAAAGTATTACATGTATCTTCATGAAAGGGAAGGGGGTTGGGGGCACGAAAGGTATAACGGAGGGGAAATCAGGTAAAGAACTGCATCACCCAAGTAACTCAGTTTGGGGATGTATCCCATGGGCCGCTTGTTTAGATAGGGGGTTCGATTTTATCAAAATCGAAGGGAACTGCAAAGTTCCTTGTACTTTGACTTATCTCTGTCTGAGAAAGCAGATTGCATATTTGAACAAACATTACACGGCCAAATTCCAAAAAATTGCATGTCAGGTCTTATTTAATTCAATGTGTAGAAATATTAATCAGAAATCATTCATATCGATGAAAATGAAAATGTGACATAAACATACATGTACATGTATAAGTAACATATATTGTTAAACCTTTAGAATTTATTTCTATAAAAATCTTTACGGAAAAAATCTAACGTATCTTTTACCGTGTTTTACGTCATCTTGAGAATTTTCTTTAACCACATTGAGCCCAATCACTCGGTAAGGTAAGTTAAGGTAAGTAAAGGTCTAATGGAAACAAAATAGAAAATAAAGACTTAAATATTTCTTCTAACTTTATCAAATTGATTGGCGAACTGAAGATATTACATATCAATTTTCGTTACGATCAATGATAAACAATGGGAAGGAGAAATGTTGAATGAGTCCTATAACTGTTTTAAATTGTTGAATAAATTTCTATCATGTTGCATAATTTTGAAATTCAAATACAGACACTTGAATCCAGGATTTTTTTTTTCGGGGGGGGGGGGGGGGTAACCAATTTTTTTGACAAGACTCGCTGGAGGGTGGGCGGAGCTTAGACTTTAAAAGCTTTATACATTTTAACAGAGGTCCGAGATCCAAGATTTTCTTGGGGGAGGGGATCCAGGGTCCAGGGTCAATTTTACTTGGTTTAATATATACATGTTGTTATACCGGCATAGATAAGAGAATCAAGATGGTGAATTTCCCTTGCTTAGTGAGGCTTTTAATTGCTCTAAAACACTACACCAAAATGGTTTTACTTCATGGTATTCTTGTGTTAACTTCTTACTTAACCATATTGATATTAAAATAAGTGATTTCCTAGGTATGTCAACCCCACAATTTAAAATCAATTTGAAAAGAATATTACTGAATTTCTATAAATTAACATGGGAAAAAGACAGGAATTTACATAAAGATGGCAAATTATCTACCTTTACCAGCATAAAGACTATATTTTGTTTTGAACCTTATCTAGATATTCTTGCAAACAATCAACATAGATCAGTTTTATCAAAGTTAAGAATATCAGCTCACAGGCTTAAAATTGAAATTGGACGTTACCAAAAAGTACCTAAAGAGGAACGAATTTGTTCACTTTGTCATCATAACGAGATTCAGGATGAAATTCATTTTCTCTTTGTATGTCCTCATCTTAATGTACAAAGACTTGAACTTATAAATATTTGTAAAATTGAACGTAAAAATTTTCAGTCTCTATCTTAGATAATCAATTTTATTGGCTCATGACTTATTGAAGACCCAGATATCCTTAGATCACTTGGTAATTTACCTTAATTGAAGATATTGTGATAAGCATAAAAAAATTATATACCTCTTTCCCAGTTTCTTGCCTTTATATATATATATATATATTTGCATGTAACGTACAATACGATACATGTATGTATATTCAGTATATCTCTTATATACTTTTTTTCTTTTTTTACCGATTGCTCTTTATTTGTAATATCATCATCATGCTTGTTCTATCATTTGGATCCTCCTCCTTCTATTTGTAAATCTTTTTTCTCCTCCGGGGGCTCAAATTGGATTAATAAAATCTTGTATCTTGTATCTTGTATATATATTTTTTTTCACTTTGTAAATTCCAATGCGGGGTAGGTGGGTTCCGAACCCCCGACTCCCACTTTAGCATCTGTGCATTCAGTAATATACGAGGGCTGATCAAAAATTTCGCGAACTGATTAAATAGCTTCCATCTTATTAAGATGATCTAAGAAACAACATTTCGTGTCCGTGCTGATTATATTTTAAATCAGTCCTCTCCGAATTAGTGAGCACCTGCCACCATGTGCGAATCATGTAATTTAAACAGTCAAGTGACCTGTTCCGTATCGTTCTGTCACAGAAGCTGAAGAATTTTTCCGACTCTTATACTTCTTTCCATGCAATTAAATTTCCATTACAAAAACACTCCATTTGTCAGAATTGCCCAAATCTCGGCAATAGAATGGGTGTATAAGAATATTCTTTCCCAGTATGAGCATTGTGACGACCATTACCCGAATCCTCTAGTCTCTTAGAGTCATTTATTTTATTGTAGGTATAAATGTATCGGCGCCACCTTTTTATCACATCTAATACGTTTAAAGTCGTTAACGATAACTTTGGTATCTAATAATTATATAATTTTTTAAGATATTCATCTATTTTTCAAACTGAAAATTTAAGATTATTATTAACAATTTGCCTAATAAAAAACACCTCTTTTCAGAATTCCTTTCTCTAGGCAACAAAACAAAAATCATTTTAAACCATCTCCCTTTCTTCCTTAAAACGATAAATACAATCATTGATTGTATTTCTAGGAAGTCTTTGTCTTAATTAACTGTGTTCAAATTATAATACCGTACTGCAAGGAAATTTTTAATTATTCATTCCCCTCGTAATAATTATAAACAACTATAATGTTGAACTTTATTCTAAACTTTTCAGGATCCTGGAAACCTTATAGATTCCGGCAATATCGCTTAGAAGTATCCAATTCCTCTGTTACACAACAGTGGTCCATATGTTACCAAGATCGCACATTATACCCTGTTGTGCCATCAAGTATACAAAATATTTCTTGTGAAAAAAACACAAGATACCTCAGAGTTTTCACAACGTATGACGCTCCTGAAGATGATAGATATGGAAACATAGGTGCAGTACTTGAAATATGTGAAATTCAAGTTTTTGGTAAGAAAAAAAGTTTTTTCTTGTATTCTACATGTAAATGTCTGAATCAAGCAACCGTCATATGATATTTTAATATTTATTGGTGTGTTTTTATTCCAAATCTTATTAATCGAATACTTAAGTAATTGTTGTTTTGATAACTATCTTCATCTCTGTTTCACCAATTTTAAGTTATCCAACGCAGATGTTAAAGAAGTTAATTCTGCGTTGTCAACATAATCAAAACTAGTCTATATCTGAACTCTAAATTTATTTAACAATTTACATCGTTCTTTATAATAATATAATTTAATAGATAACGGCAAAATATAGACATACTATAATTAAAAGTGCTTAACGGTGATGTTTATAATATCATTAAAAACACATGACTCTCTGGGTGGTTTATTCCCTGAACGTCTACTCATTATTATACCTGTAACTATTGAATTATCACACTCAACTAAGAGGCCCTCTAAGGGGTCCAGGTACGTGTGTTACCTTGATTATTTAAATACTTTAATATTTATTTATAAAATGTTGTAATCAAGTCCACTTTATTCATACAAACTAGAATATTGTGATAATTATGGAGTTCCTTAATACATACATGTACATGTATAACATATATATGTTATAATATGAATTATAAAATTAATGCTTCGAAATTGTGATGTAAATTTAATTTTAAAAAGTATCTAAAGCAAAATTCATTTCTGAATAATAAGGTATATTGGATAAGAAAAATTATTCATCATTGATATATTTTTTTTCCAGTTTACGCTATTTCTGTTTACCAAACAATGCTACTTCATATTCAGCAAAATTTTATCTAACTATATTTTTGAAACACTGTTTATGAAAATTATGGTTTTAGTATAGAAAAACTAAGGTTGAAATATTTCGGGCTTTTTTCAAAGGCAAAATAAAAAGATTGTTTCAATTGCAAATAAGGTTCTTTTGAGTTTAATTAAACAATATTTCTATTCACTGGTTTAAAAGTGAATAGGACTGGGCAGCAGAATCAGCCTATTTTAACCTTTAGAGTCTAAAGTTTGCCGTTAATAAATACACATTACATGTATTATATAGATAACAAATAGTCTCTAATAAAAAATTGTAAAATCTAGAATATTTTAGCATACAATATCTTGATGTTTTATTGAACGCTGGGTTTGTATTCCAAATACGAGCGTTCAATATTGAACGCCCCGTTGTAAACAAAAAGGAAATCTAAAAAAGAAACAAAAGAAAAAGAAACAAAAGAAACAAAACAAAAAAGAAAAGTGGCATCTAGGTAAGATGTGTTTATTCTTACACCATAATGAAATTATTAGATTATTAATCAAAAGTTTAGTGTACGTATTAGACCCACTTAAACCTATATAAATCATAACGTTCGGTAGGGTCATCGGAATGATGCGAAATTGAACACTTCCAGGATAGGCGTTAATTTGAATACCAATACCAAAAAAAAAAAAATTAATAATGAATTTGAGTTTTTTAGTTGGAATAATTATTATAAATTATGAGGAAATGTTTTAGTATATAATAAAAGATTTATTTAACTTATATTGGTGAATATTGACACTCATTGTCTTACAAATGCACTCGCAAGCTTGTGCATTTGTACAGCCAACATATTCACCAATTCAAGTTCAATAACCCTATAATGTTAACATCTAATAAAACATGTCAAGAAAAGCCAGATTATCGGTCTTTTTTGCTAATAAATTACTTGTGAAAATTTATTAACCAAATAAAATCCACAAAAAAGAAATGGAAAAATGTTGCTATAGAATTCCTCCTTTTGATAAATAAATACAGAAGTGTGATAATTAGATGTTTGTTTTGCCGTTGAGGTAACGGCATGATGTTATAACAAGAGGCCCAGGGGCCATAGTGCTCACCTGAGCACATCGGCTATGAAAAAGCACATATCAGATTAGAACTTAAAGTTTACTGAGGTTTTGGGGGGCATCAATTTTAACCCCCAGGGGATGATGATCTGAACGAACTAAAATCTACATAACCTGAGGATAATTCCATATGACTATTACTACATGTAATCATGACTTTGAAGTACTTGAAGAGAAGATTTTAAAAGGTTTCTCTCTATATTCCTATGTAAAACTTCGGTCGGTCATTTTTGCCCCACCCTACCCCCGGGGGTCATGATTTGAAAAAAGTTCAATCTTCACTACCTGAGGATAATGTCACATGAGTTTCATCTTTCCTGTCTCGATGGTTCTTGAGAAGACGATTTTTAAATATTTTTCCATTATTTTCCTATGTAAAACTTTGATCAGTCATAATGGCCCAATTAAACCCTTCCCCCAGGGGTCATGAACAAACCTGAATCTACACGACATGAGGATGATTCCACATTAGTTTCATCTTTCCTGGCCCATGGTTCTTGAGAAAAGATTTTTAAAAGATTTTTCCTACATGTATATATTCTTATGTAAAACTTTGATCGGCCATTTTGGCCACATCCTTCCCCTCTGGGAGTCATGATTTTAACAAACTTGAATCTACACTACCTGAGAATGATTCCACATGAGTTTAATCTTTCTTCTCGATGGTTTTTGAGAAGAAGATTTTTAAAGAATTTTCCTATATATTCCTATGTACATATAAAACTTTGATCAGCCATTTTTGCCCCATCCTACGTACTGGGGGTCATAGTTTGAAAAAACTCCTCTCTTCACTACCTGAGGATGATTCTACATGAGTTTCATTTTTTCTTGCCTCGTGGTTCTTCAGTAGAAAGTTTTTGAATATTTTTGTCATACACTCCTATGTAAAAATTTGATAGAAGATTTTGGGCCCACCATACCAACGGGGGTCTTGATTTGAAAAAACTTGAATCCACACTACCTGAGGATGATTCTAAATGAGTTTCATTTTTCCTGGCCCAGTGGTTCTTGAGAAGATTTTTGAACAGTTTTCCTATATATTCCTATGTAAAGCTTTGCTCGGCCATTTTTGCTACCCCCAGGGGTCATGATTTGAACAAACTCGAATCTATACTACCTGAGGATGATTCCACTTGAATTTCATCTTTCCTGGCTCAGTTTTTCTTGAGAAGAAGATTTTTAGATTTTCCTATATACTCCTATGTAAAATTTTAATCGGTCATTTTGGCCTTATTGTACCCCCGGCGGTCATGATTTGAACAGACTTGAATCTACGCTACATAATGATGATTCCACCTGAGTTTCATCTTTCCTAGCCCAGTGGTTTTTAAAAAGATTTTTGAAAAACGCCATTAATTTTTCTCTTATTCATAATTATCTCACCTTAGAAAAGGGCGTTGCCCTTCATTTGAACAAACTTGAATTCCCTTTAACCATGGATACTTTGTAGCAAATTTGGTTGAAATTGGTCCAGTGGTTCTTGAGAAGAAGATGAAAATGCGAAAAAGTTTACAACGACTATGACATCGACGACGATAGGCAACGGACAAAGTTTGATTAGAAAAGCTCACTTGAGCCTTCGGCTCAGGTGAGCTTAAAATAGTAATTAACACTTTACTTATTGACCAATTACCCTGAGATCTCAGTCTGGAGAGCTATAATAACCTTCAAATATTCTTAATTATAAGATGATTAAAAATACTAAATTAAAATCTATGCAGCACTTCCCTTTCTAAAAAACAGAAGGAATCTTAAGGAAAATGCGCTCAAAATTAGATATTTTTTATTTTTTCCGACTAACCAATTACGGATTTTCTAACCGATTAGCATCCTTCCGACCGATTAATCGATTAACCGGTTGCATATTGCCATCCCTTAAATTTGTAAGCATTAAATGTCGCTTGAATTGGCACTATTTTTAGCACAGGGGCATGAGGAGAGATATTACGTATAATACAGGTTCTCGGCGGACTTTATATTCTTATTACATCTATTAGAAATGTTTAATTAAAGCTAAATTAGACGCAATATATTTTGTAAAATTTGACAATATGGAACGTTAATAAGCAAGTATATGTGATTAAATGTATGCACTTAATTCGCATTAGAAGCAACTGCCTCCATGGTCTATTGGAATGACTCTCTCTTAATAAGTGAGAAGTAATGCGTTCGAATTCCGTATAATCCTTTTTTAGATTAACTAAATAAGAGTATTCAGCATGTTAAATGAAAAAGTTATGACGTCTGCTTGTACTTAACCTATAAAATCATCATAACAGCGGGGTTAATTTTTTCATATAAAAAGAATTTTCTCTACACACGTAATAAAGGAAAACCAATCAAACTCTTTATATCCATATTGACATTTTTATTTGGTTTTTATTTGCTTCAATATGCACCCTCCCCCAACCCCCCACCCCGAGCTGCGATACTCTTTTTTTCCCTAAGAGGGGGACACAAATTCTCTGAATTATAGCTTGTTTAATGTATTATTATATTACACTTCAATAACTAAGCTTACATATTTTGAAATTTGTTTTCAACTGTAAACCTTTATTAAGTATGAATTGTCCATATTTGTAATTTTATTAAAGTATTAACTAATATTTTCCAAGTCTATTTTATTTCAAAGACTATGGAAAAAAAAGTCAAAGAATTATCCACTATCCTTAGCCTGTGAGATAAGTCTCTTCCAAAGAAAAAAATCTATCATCGATATCTGTCTTTAAGAATGCCATAATTTATGTTTTTCATTTCAATATGTGTTACAATCTTAAATTTAATTTTCTAAAGGATGTGATGTTGGTTATTATGGCCAAAACTGTTCACCCTGTGGAGATTGTGAAAACTGCAACATTATAACTGGATGTCGTAAGTAATCTATGAACAAGAAAAGCCACAACAGATGAGCCTTAATTGCTCCTAATAAAAATTGGTATGGTTACTCGTCACGATCAGGCATATATATGACAGACGCCTTGCGGTTGAATACAGATATTAGAAATCATTTGTCACGGAGACCCCATTGTATGATAATAGAACTAAAGTAGTGTAGCTTCTCTTTATTTTTAATCAAGCGCTATCTAAACCGAGTTATTAAATTGAGTTATCTAAACCGATGCTAGGTCATCGATTTACTCAGTTTAAAAACACGAAAAAATTTTTTGGTAGATAAAAATATTTATAGAGACAAAAGCGAAGCTGATTTAGAAACTTCTGTATATTTAAAGATATTAAGTGTTAAATGTCGGATTTTATTCTATGATGAAATCCTTAAAGTTGCATGGAGCTAATCTAGTTATCAATTTAACGCAAGTACCCCTTTAAATGACTATTTGAGTTCTTGTATGCAGAATCATTTCTCCAAATAAAATAAATTTGCATATAAAGCATTTAATGATAACAATGTAAATCAACGTAGCATATGGTAACCAACAATGCAAATATTGATTACATTTAAACAGCCATTGAACAAAAACATGCACAAATACGTTTTCATGTAACTTTCAAATTTACCTTCGTAATATCTTACATAAACTATTATTTTAAATATCGAATTCAACTCTACGATTTAAAATAGACACATGGATTTGTAAATGTTTATTCAATTAAAGTTTTGATATGAGCATAGCATTGTGCCTAAAACGTATTCCACAACGAATCTTGATGTAGCTTCTTGCTGTTACAAATTTCAAGACCAAATTGTTAGCCGTTTTTGCTTTACGATTAGATAAAAACAAACCACTTTTTTGCAAAGAAATGCATTAAAAAATACTTTCATATGAAGTCAGAGCATGTAGCTAAAAATAAATTGATTTCCGTAACGATTTTGTTTCAGAATGCATGAACAGATTGTAGTTTTGATAAAAATTGAAACGTACCTGAAAGTGACCATGAAACTTAATGACGATTCTTTTTAAGAGTTGGATATTTTATTCAATTACATTTTTGACATATCAAACTGAATTTAACAAAAACAGTTGTCTCATTCAATAAAAAATTAACTTCTGAACAAGTATTCATGAATGTTATTCCGTTTCAAGTATTAGTATTTTTGGGGAGAGAAATATTTGCAAACTTTTGATATACGTCATAAAACAATTTAAACGTATATTACATCATTTGCCGAAAATTTCAATTTTTATTACTGAAAATTAACGTCCGTAACGCCTAAGTTCTGTAACAAAACATAAAAATCGAAAGATATGCCAAATTCATTTTTATTATTTAAAATATTAATGTCTGTTCGAGCATTTACCAACGTCACATTACCTTAAAATTAATAGTATATATTCATAAGTACGTAGAATTGTAAAAAAAACAAAAACAAAAAAAAACAAACAAACAAACAAACAAACAAACAAAACAAACAAACAAACAAACAAAACAAAAAACATGAAATATCAGTCTTTAATCCTTATTTGTTGATTTTGTTTTCACTAACGAAATTTAGCAGTAATCGGTTAAGTGTATTTCTAAACTTGAGTATCAACAGTATAATGATATTTTGTGTATCTTTTTATAGCCAAAAGCTCATGCATAACCACATTTAACTGTATTGACAACCATTGTGACGGAAATGGAAACTGCTTGCGAGGATGTAAGCAAGGATACTGGGGGAATAAATGTCAGAGTACCTGCCCTTTATATTGTCCCCTGGGAATCTGCAATCGGACTAACGGATTTTGCAATAACTGTACCGACGGCTACTTTGGAAATGTTTGTGAAAGGAATTGTTATACGAAATGTCGTGGACAAGAATGCGATAAAGAATCGGGGTCTTGTACAAATGGATGTGCAACTGGTTACTATGGACTTTATTGCAATTTAACTTGCAGTAATACTTGTCTTAATCAGGAATGTACACAAGAAAACGGGCATTGCAATGATGGATGCAATGGCGGTTTCTATGGTGAATTCTGTAATAGGTCATGTAATATAAATTGTGCACAAATCAACTGCAGTCAAAGTGGAGCTTGTATATATGGATGCAAATCAAACTGGACAGGACAAACATGTGATGGTATTTTTTTTTTATTATATTTCCACATATTTCTTTTTAGGGTTTCATGTACAATACTCTATGCATTCAGCACACGAGTTTACACATAAATATTTGTTCCCTTATGAACAGCCCTCATGAAATGTTTTGTCTCCTCTCAGATTAAAGAAGAAAATAACATAATCCGTTTTATTCGACATTGATTCTTTTGCAAAACAACTTATCGCATAAGTCAAAATACATTTAAAAACTAATGAAAATATTTAAAAATCTAGATATCAAAATGTCTATAAAATGACATTGGAATTGGATGTATTAAAGAATAAATAATGTTTAGTTCAGGGATATCCGGCAATAAGAAACTTGATTGCAGAAAATCAAACTGATTAACAAAAAAAAAAAAATGTAAAAATTTCAATGAATTCTTTTTCTTCAGTGGTCATATATGTATATATTTTTAATTATTTGCACATTTAAAAAGTCTAAAAATACAGTTTTCCGTGTAATGTTCAGACTACAAAAGAGGGAATGCAATTGCACTTATTATGGTATCTGTAGACCATTACAACTTCTGGCTCATGGATGTTTGTTTGATCAATAGTACAGTAGATAATTTTTGCAATTATTTATTTTAAAGACAAGATCTTTTTCTGCGACATCTATACCATTGTGAAATGGTATATGCTTTTTTTCATTTTCTTTTCTTTTTGTAGAATGTGATATCAACCATTACGGAGCAAATTGCTACAAGGAGTGCAGTGTCAATTGTAAACGACAGACATGTAATAGTACTACGGGTTTCTGTATATTTGGGTGTGAAGATGGATTTTATTCATACAAGTGTGAAAAAACGTGCAGTCCATCATGTCTGTCTGGTTGTAATAGATACTCAGGGGAATGTGAGGGCACATGTCCGGTTGGCAAATATGGAGATCAATGTGATAAAATATGCAACCCAAATTGTAACTTGAGATGCCATAAAAACACTGGTCTTTGCGAATTTGGTTGTATTGCCGGTAAATATGGTCCAGACTGTCTTCGAACCTGTGGTGGTGGATGTATTTCCGGTTGCAGTCAATCCGATGGGAGGTGTACTTGTAAGACAGGATGGCAGGGGCACTATTGTGATGGTAAACTTGTATGAATTTTTTCTTTCTGAAGAACCATTTATTCTGTTTGTGATGCTGTCTTTGGCCAAGATAAAACATTGATTGTTCTGAATTGCTACATGCCTTTTTCGGATACCTTCCGTTATAAAAAAGAATTATTTGCAGTAAATAAGATTTTTTTCACCATTTTATCATCTTACAACCATTTTACAATATACACAATTTAATTTGTTCGAAAAATAACTTTATTCAAAACCGGATCAAAAATAAATGAGAGTTAGTCTGTACTTAAATGTAATTATTATCCTACTACGGAAACTGATCTCTAAAGTTTCCGAAGACTCGTTATTGACATTAAAAAATGTGACTTATTATTTATTGATGAAGTAGGTTTATCCTTATATGAAGCATCTTAATCAAATGTATTTGTTTCAAAGTTTATTGCATTTTAAACTCGTGATGTTTGGATTTAATATCTGCAAATCCAAGAGACGATTCTTTTTTGAAAGCTAAACGCTAAAATATAAAGATCATAAAGAAGCAAGAATTCAAAAAGCAACCATTTTTGAAAAGAGCAATCACTTAATACAACAAGAGGCCCAGGGGCCACAGCGCTCACCTGAGCACATCAGCTATGAAAAAACACATATCAGATCAGAACTGAAAGTTAACTTAAGTTGGGGGGGGGGGTCTTGAATTTTCACCCCCAAGGGTATCATAATTTGAACGAACTAGAATCTACATTACCTGAGGATGATTCCATACAAATATAACTAATCCTGGCTTTGAAGTACTTGAAAAGAAGATTTAAAAAGGTTTCCCTATATATTATGTAAAACTTTGATCGGCCATTTGGCCACGCCCTACCCCCAGGGGTCATGACTTAAACAAATTTAAATCTACATTACCTGAGGATGATTCCACATGAGTTTCATCTTTCCTGGCCCAGTGGTTCTTGAGAAGAAGATTTTTAAAGATTTTTCCTGTATATTTCTATGTAAAACTTTGATCGGCCATTTTGGCCCCGCCCTACCCCCGGGGGTCATGACTTGAACATATTCAAATCTGCATAACCTGAGGATGATTCCACATGAGTTTCATCTTTCCTGGCCCAGTGGTTCTTGAGAAGAAGATTTTTAAAAATTTTTCCTGTATATTCCTATGTAAAACTTTGATCGGCCATTTTGGCCCCGCCCTACCCCCGGGGGTCATGACTTGAAGATATTCAAATCTGCATAACCTGAGGATGATTCCACATGAGTTTCATCTTTCCTGGCCCAGTGGTTCTTGAGAAGAAGATTTTTAAAGAATTTTCCTATATATTTCTATGTAAAACTTTGATCGGCCATTTTGGCCCCGCCCTACCCCCGGGGGTCATGACTTGAACAAATTTAAATCTACATTACCTGAGGGTGATTCCACATGAGTTTCATCTTTCCTGGCCCAGTGGTTCTTGAGAAGAAGATTTTTAAAGATTTTTCCTGTATATTCCTATGTAAAACTTTGATCGGCCATTTTGGCCCCGCCCTACCCCCGTGGGTCATGACTTGAACAAACTTGAATCTACACTACCTGAGAATGATTCCACATGAGTTTCATCTTTCCTGGCCCAGTGGTTCTTGAGAACAAGATTTTTTAAAAATGCCAATAATTTTTCTCTAATTCATGATTATCTCCCCTTGCAAAAGGGCGTGGCCCTTCATTTGAACAAACTTGAATCCTCTTCACCCAAGGATATTTTGTACCAAGTTTGGTTGAAATTGGCCCAGTGGTTCTTGAGAAGAAGATGAAAATGTGAAAAGTTTACGACGACAACGACAACGACGACAACAGACAACGGACAAATTTTGATCAGAAAAGCTCACTTGAGCCTTCGGCTCAGGTGAGCTAATCATATACAACAATACATACGCGTCTTTTTTGTCTACATTTACAGTATGCAGTCCAACCCATTATGGACTCCTGTGTGATCAGTCATGCAGTCCATTATGTTTAAACGGAACTTGTTTTTCAAACAACGGGTTGTGTAAAGAAGGCTGGAATACGAACCTTTATGATATTCAGCGTATTGAAGGTATTAAAGTGCTTATTTGCTATGATTATGTATTAGCATTAAAACATTCATTTTACTTATCAAATTGAGTTCCATAAAACATCCCCGGACAGTTCAATACTTTTTATGAAAAATACTTTGCTTTATTTTTTTTTAATGTATTTACCTTTTTCTAAAGAAAAATAATATACCATGAATTTTATTAACAAATGGGAAATTGTATTTAAATCTTATACTTTTTCTAAAAGAAAAGATGTAATAAGTATGATCTCGTTTTAAAACTACTCAAAGTTAATGGCTCATTCTACCCCCGCTTGAAAAGTGGCAGGGTACATGTATACTGTAATCGGTATGTCTGTCCGTCCGTCTGTCTGTTACGCTTTTGGGTACCCATCTCTTCTCCACAACTCCTTTTATACCACTGAGTGAAATTTAATGAAACTTTCAAGAATCTTTATTACATATTGCCATTGTGCACCTTCTATTTTACTCTTTGATCGACACATATTTTTGGTTTCCCGGCCACAGCAAAACATGGACATTGCTATTATAACCATATGGGAGGCGGGGGTATCATTCAGTAAGATCATTGCTCACAATACCTCTAGTTTTTAATAATAGAAATGACTAATCTATTAAAAAGAACAAGCAAGTGAGCTAAAATTATCACTTACATTACAGATGAATGTTTATATTTTTCATTCATTTTTAACCAGTCAGCTCATTCTTTCTTCTTTGTTGTTGTTTTCTTATTCTGTCCACTTTTATATCTCTCTTCTCTATGGAAGAAATGAAACAGGCATCAAAGGGCATTTCCAATTCAGCTTTTTACGGGGTTATTGCAGTTCTGCTGATAAGTGTAATTCTCAACATATATCTCATGGTCCGGTGAGTTTTAAACTTTCCATTGGCCTTTTTGTTAAAATGATAATCCTGTCAAATTCAAGAGGAAATAAATGTTATATTTAAACACCTCCTGATATTTTGTCATTTTGTTTTTGGAGAGTTGTATATTATTTTAGTGAGATACAATATATAAATATATGTGTTACAATATTACAGGAATGTAAGGCAAACTATATATAAAAGAAAAAATTTTAAAGAAACAAGGCGCCACCAGAATTCTACAAGACAAGTAAACACAACTGTCAATGATAATGTGGAGGAAAACACAGGTTATCAAGAACTTGGAGATATAAGCCAACCCTCTCATTACGAAGAACTAAAGTCAATGTAGCTCTAATGCCATAGCCTAGTTGAACTTTTTTTTTTGAAATATGTGCTATTTTCTGACATAATGGTTTTGTTCCTGTCAATAAAGGACTTCAATAGCAAAAGTTCAATATTTCATAGTTGTGTTTGAAATAATTAAAATAAATTGAAAGAATGAAATGATTTTTAACCAGAGTTTATACTTACCGGCATTTTGTAGCTGAGCTGTAAGAAATTTTGATATACGACAAGCAATAGTAATGTTTTGTGTTGTTCAGTTGACATGGTCTTGTTTTATACTTTTATCAGAAGATACTTATCTCAAAGGCTCTTTAAAATAATTGTGTTTCATTGGCAGATGGATATGCTCATATGTAAATAATATAAACTCTTCATTATGAACGAGAATTTTTCAGGAGATCATAGTAAATTAATGATTGACCTGTGATTGATTGATTGTATGTTGTTTAACGTCCCTCTCGAGAATTTTTCACTCATATGGAGACGCCATCACTTGCCACTGGAGGGCTACAAATTTTGTCCTATGCTCGGCACTTAGGGTCTTTGAGCAGTGAGGGATCTTTTTCGTGTCAGCACCTACTGCGACACGGGACCTCGGTTTATACGTTCTCATCCGAAGGACCGGTCTCCACGTCCCGCAGTGGGATTCGAACCTGCGACGTAAGGATTGACTCCTTACTTCGCGACTCTAGAGCAGACGCTCTAACCACTGCGCCACGCGGGCGACGATTGACATGCGTATTGTTCTTTATTGTTCTATTGCTTTCAAATTTCTTTGAAAAAGAAACTTTTACGTAATTTATTTGTGAATGATTACCTTATGGCTTATAGATATTACTCCTGGATTTAATTCTTCACTTATAACAAATCAAAATTAGCCAATTATTCCAAATTTAATTATTATAAGCATAACTTGTAGCAAAGATATACATTAAAATTAGGAAACACAAATTCTTTATGAGATTGATAAGTATTCATTTTTCTTCTTTGCATCATAATTATCATCAACTTCTGAAATTTCTATACATGTCTAACTCAAGTAATCCCCTTTTATTTCATTGGTAAACGTCTACAATGTTCTTTGAAGCAAGATAACCATCGTTAAATACATTTGTGGTATCTTTCCATTATATAAACATACAAAGAGAAAATGTCTTCAATTCTGTATGAAGTTTGTCAGAGGTCAATATATGGCCGAGTCACATGGCGCAATAATATCTACCGTTACTTATAAATATAAAATGACTTGCTATTCATGTATAAAAATGAACAAAATAAGCAAGTAAAATAATTGTTTTATTTACAACGTAAACAAGAACTTCATACATTTTTGGCGTTCGATTTAACCTGTTTACATAGAGAATTTAGAAACTAGCCTTTGTTTACAAGTTGTACGTCACTTTTGTCAGCTGCACAGTCTCTAACTTTTATCCTTATTTTTTTTGGTAGATCTTAAGCTAATCTTCGTGATATATTCTAAACTATATTTTCCGTTAAATTCTCTCACGATAAATGTGTAGATCTATTGGAAATCAAAGCATTGCAATCACGCCACGAACAGCTGAGAAACACCTCGATCGGCGCTGTCGTACTACAATGTAAGCTGTCGCCAGTGTCTCCTTGTTAAAATAATAAATGCCTTTAGTTACTGAAATCGTTACTGAAATTTAAATACCTTATTGGAAATTAGCTGTCTCGGAAAAGTGTCTCAGCCCATAGGATCCATCCATCCCTTTCAGGCGACCGAAATTCCTCCAACTTTATATCATCAATCCTCGGACGTGTTTCTTGTATCTTTTCAGCATTAATTATCAATTTTCACAAATAAAAATATTCCCAGACAAGAATCTGTTCATTATTACTGTTCACAAGTAGCCTTAAACAAAATATTCCCTTAGAATTCTTAGCCTGTCACGAATTCAAAGCGTAATCGCCTTTCAAGCCGATTTACACCTTGCGTACATTTGACGAAAATCTGCTGCGACCCGTTAGTGCCAAATATTAGCACCTTTTTAAATATAAAATAGATGCATTTATTTTATGAGAAAAGAAGTCGGGTTTGATTATGATATGCAGACTTCAAAATTAAGATCGGGTTTGGGCTTCCTTTTATGCCGGGGTTGCTCAACAGGAAAGAAGCCATAGATTCATCAAGAGTTTAGATTGGTAAAAATACGACGGATTGGCTGTCAAGTAATGTTAATTGCCCACCCACCCATCCCATTCTGTAAGAAGTATTCACAAAATATGTTGGAAGTTTAATGATAAAAATGCTTTGTACTTTCTAAATGCAATTAAGATAAACAGATCAGCTGAGAAATGCTGAAGATTTGTTCAATTTAAATTGTAAAGGCTATTGGTACTGCTGTATTGTTATAAATTGTAGGAAGATGGTCTGAGCCTTATTGACGTGGATGAACTGGTACCATGAAGACGGCGTAGGATAGACGATACCAAGACGGAATTCTAAGATTAACTGATTGCATGTTGTTTAGCGTCCCTCCTATGCGCACACTAAAGTCAACTGATATCTTAGCTAAGTACTATTAATGGGAAATAATCGTTGACTAATGGTTGACACTGATCGAGTGAAAATGTTGTGCTGATGGGAACAATTGCTGTGTGACTGAGTTTGATAAATTTGAGAAAAACTGCATTTTGTATTAAAATAATTATTGCAGATTGTGTATGTAAATAGAGACCTGTATACTTAGTATGTAGGTCCCTGAAGTAAATTAGTAAAGATTAACTAAGTAACCGCCCGCGGATTGCCCGGGGTGGTCAATTTCTTTATATTTGCTGAATTTGATTTATGATTGATTTGTTGTTGATGCTGAAGTGGGTCTGCCAATGTTGTGCTGATTTGTGCGGCGAATAATGCCACGACAATACTCATCACATAGAAATAAATAATTATTAACTTTTGGTGGTGTTGAATTTTTTCTATATAAATAAATATCCAAAGATATATAATTAAATGTTTAATTGTCCATCTCAAATGTATACATAAGTAAAAAATAACAAGTTTATAAACTTCAATTGGAATTGGAATGGGTCGGTAGAAGGAAGCTATTTGCAGACTGAAGTAACTTGATGACATAAAGCTGTAACATGTGTAAGAAGGAAGAATGTAATTCATTGAGATCCTACATTGTGATGAATATTATCAGCAGGTCAAGTCAATTTGAAGGGAATGCAAAGACATACGATTTACGAATTTAATATGA